CCCCCAGTGTGCTGGATCTGAGGCCTCCCAGGAGGTGCAGGGCAAGGTCAGCCACTGCCTGGGTTCTGCCTGGGGCCACCCAGCATAAGTTTCAAAGGGATCTGCAGATGGTTGCTACATATGCTAAGTTTGGAGGTGTCTAGTTGAAGCCAAGCTGTGAACCAAGGCCAGCTGCTGCTAGTGCCAAGCCTGGGGCCACTTGGAGGTATGAGGCACGCTGAGGCCAGATGCTGCTTGTTTGAGAGATTTTAAGAAAGTCTGAAGAATGAGTCAAGATAGGTTGTTCATGTAGAAAAGCCACTGGAAACAGCTTTGGTGCACCCATAAGTTGGGTAGGGCGGGATCTCGGAATCACCTGGACAGGATGAACAGTGTAGCCAGGTTGATGGAGACTCAGGGATGATGCCTGCCTGGGGCTCTGGGAGGGGGTGGCTCAGGAAAGGAACAGTGGCCTCTGCCGCCACTTCTGTCTGGGAGAAAGCTTCCCCTCCAGCTCTCCCCCGATGCCAGACAATTCATTTGCTTCCCGGATGTCCCTGGTGCCTTTCGAGCTGCTGTCCCCGCACTGGAGCTCTAAGGGGGGGACCTCCACAGCTGAGATGTCCCTCCCGATTTTTATCCACCACAAGTGGATGTGGGACCAGCCGATTCTGAGTCCCTGTTCCTCCTACCAGTCTGGATGTGGCTTTCTTAGTTGTAAGACCACTGTTCAGCTAGATTTCAGGCTGTTCCTAATGATGGTAATTTTGTAGTTTAGTTTAATTTTGATGTGATTGTGGGAGGATATAAGTACCGTGTTTAATCTACACTCCATCTCTTCCAGAAGCTCCGACAGTCTTTTCTTTCAATATTTTGAATGTATAGTCTGACTCCTGGCCTGTCAGGTTTTGGTTGAATTGCTCTTGTATATGATGAGTCGCTGTTCTCTTGCTGTTTTCAAAATTCTATCTGTGATTTTTGACAATTTAATTAAATGTGTCTTGTTGTTGCCCCCCCCCCCCCTTTTTTTGGTACATGCCCTTTACGGGAACCAAACTCGGGACTCTGGTCCACAGGCTGATGCTCCAGCTGCTGTGGCAAACCGGCCAGGGCTGTTGTGGCCCTTTTTAAATTCAACCTATTTGGGGGTTCTTTGGGCCTCATGAATCTGGATGTCCATTTCTCTTACCAGGTATGGGAAGTTTTTGACCATTATTGTTGTAAATAGACTTTCTGTCCCTTCTCCTTCTGGGATTCCCATTACATGTATTTGTTTCTTTTGATGCTATCCCGTAAATCCTGTAGACTTTCTTCACTCTTTTTTTTTTACTCCTCACCCAAGGACATTTTTTGTTTTGCACTTATTCTCAGATAGAGCGGGAGAGAGAGAAAGAGAAACATCCACGTGAGAGAGACACATCTACTGGTTGCCACCCACACAATCCCAATTGGGGCCAGGGACAAACTGCAACCGAGGTACGTGCCCTTAGCCGGAACTGAACTCGGGACTCTCTGGTCTGTGGGCCGATGCTCTAACCGCTGAGCCAAACCAGCCAAGGCTCGCTCTTTTTTCTTTTTGTTCCTCTGGCTGGATAATTTTAAATAACTTATTAATCTTCTAATTCACTAATTCTTCTGTTTTGCTTGAGTTAGCTGTTGAAGCTCTGTATTTAATTCTTGATTTCAGTCATTGTATTCTACAGCTCTTAGATTTGTTTTTTTTTTAATTCATTTTTGATGGTTTCTGTTTTGGTTTTTTTCTCCCTCACCCGAGGACATTTTTTATTTTTATTTTTTGTTCAGCCAGGACGGGAGGGAGAGAGAGGAAGAGAGAGAGAGAAACATCGACGTGAAAGGGACACATCGAGTGGCTGCCACCCGCACGACCAACCAGGGCCGGGGACAAACTGCAACCGAGGTACATGCCCTTAGCGGGAACCAAACCCGGGTCTCTCTGGACTATAGGCCAACGCTCTAACCGCTGAACCAAATCGGCCAGGGCTGGTTTCTGTTTTTTTTGTTCAACTTCTCATTTTGTCCGTGCATTGTTTTCATTTGTCTGTGTGTTCTTATAGTTCACTAAGCTTCTTTAGGATATTTATTCTGAATTCCTGGTCACATAGTTTATAGATCGCCATTGCTTTTTTGTTGTTGTTAATCCTCACCTGAGGATATTTTTTTCCATTGATCTTTTAGAGCAGCGGTTCTCAACCTGTGGGTTGTGACCCCTTTGGGGGTCCAACGACCCTTTCACAGGGGTTACCTAAGACCATCAGGAAACACGTATTTCCGATGGTCTTAGGAACCGAGACATCTCTCCTCTATCGTCTCCAGGTGGGTCCGCCCACATGCAGATACGTCCACATACAACATGAGGAACTGTATTAAAGGGTCATGGCATTAGGAAGGTTGAGAGCCACTGTTTTAGAGAGAGTGGAAGGGAGGGGAGAGAGGGAAAGAGACAGAGAGAGAAAAATCTGTGAGAGAGACACATTGATTGGTTGCCTCCCACATGTACCCCTACTGGGGATCGAACCTGCAACTCAGTTATGTGCCCTTGACTGGGAATTGAACCTGTGACCCTTTGGTACGTGGTCCATTGCTCTAACCACTGAACCACACTGGCCAGGGCTAGATCACCATTTCTTTTTTTTTTTTTTTTTAATTCCCCCCTCGAGGATATTTTTCCATTTTTTTGTACAGATAGAGTGGGAGGGAGAGAGAGGAAGGGAGAGAGAGAGAGAGAAACATCGATGTGAAGGGACACATTGAGTGGCTGCCACCCGCATGACCAACCAGGTCCGGGGACAAACTGCAACCGAAGTACGTGCCCTTAGCGGGAACCGAACCCGAGTCTCTCCGGACCGCAGGCCGACGCTCTAACCGCTGAGCCAAACTGGCCAGGGCTAGATCACCATTTCTTTAGTGTCATTTATTGGAGCTTTATTAGTTGCCTTTGGTGCTGTCACAGTGATTCTTTGTGAGCCTCAATTTCTTGCATTGGTATCTGTGTTTATAAGTAAGTGGCCTCCTCTTCCAGACTTTACAGGTTTGTGTGAGCAGGGAAAGACTTTCATTATTCAGCTCAGCCTGGATACTGGGCAGGTTGGTCAGTGGTGCCATGGTCTGCTGGGGTTTGTTGTCAGGGTCTCTAGTTGGGTGGGGCCACTACATGTGCTTTGAGGTTGGGGAGCTGGTTGCTGATGGCTGGGCTCCATGTTCCAGCAGGGCCACTGGGTGGGCTCCTGGACCTGGCAGGGCTGCAGCTAGTCATGTTGGCCACCAGCTGGGCTCTGCAGTTCCCTCTGTTCAGGTGAGGGTCACTGGTTGTGTTTCCTGGCAGGGCACTGCCACTGGTTGGACTGATTGGAGAGGTCTGTGGGCTGGGCTCCATAATTGCTCCTAGCGGGTGATGTCTTAGATGTGCTTCCTGATCAAACAGTGCCCCTGGCTGAACTCTGTTCAGGTGGGGCTGCGGGCAGGGCTTTGGGCTTGGACCTGGCCTCAGGCTGTGCTCTGTGAACAGGTCTGCACGCAGACAGGTCTGCAAGCTTGCCTTTGCCATGAGGTAGGCTGGAAGGTCACTGGCTGTGCTCCACTATTGAGCACAGTCTCTGCTGGGCTCTCAGTCAGGAGGTGCCTCCAGCGGTTGGGTGAGGCTAAAGACTGTGCTCTGCAGTTGGGTGGGGTCACTGTCTGGGCTCCCTGTCTGGATGAGGCCTCAAGCTCTGTTTAGCATTTGGGTAGGGCTGTAGGCTGGGCTCTGAAGCTGCTGAGGGTCACTATTCAGGCTCCCTAGTTAGGCAGGGCCCGAGGCTGTGCTCAGCAGCTGGACAGGGCTGCTGGTTTAGCTCTGTGCCTGAGCAGGGCAGCAGGATGGGTTCCTTGGCTGCCCGGACTTCACGGCTGGTTGGGACTGGAGGCCGTGCTCAGCAATTGAGCAGGGCTGCAAATTTGCTTCCCTGCCTGGGTGGGGCAATAGGATGAGCTACCAGCTAGCTTCATCCCATTGACTGGGGGTCCAGATTGGGCAGAGCTGCAGGCCTAGGTCCCTGGTCCACAGGTGGTCCATCACTGACTGGCTCTCTGCTCACGCACTGCTGCAGAGTATGTGATGTGTCTAAGCACTCTGCTGTGCACCTGAAACTAATCGGAAATAATACTGCATGAAACTGTAATTGAAAAATAAAAAAAGATTTGAGTGCTGGTTGCTGAAAGCCCTGCCCCCACCCTTCTGATTCCTAGTGGTCTCTGAGAGGGAAGCACCCCACAATTCTGGGGGACCTGGATGTGCACCTTGTGCTCTTTTCTTCCATGGAGAAACCACAGTGGGACCCTCTCAGTGCAGTGAGTGCTGGCCTGGGGAGAGGGATTTGGCCAGTGTTACTACTCTTAGCCTAATGCAGTCCTTCTCTGCCTCTGGTCTGGGAGGGTGTTTCAGCCCCGCCTGTGGGTCCTGGAATTTTCACAGTGGTGTCTTGTCTATAGATATAGTTGTTTGTGAGGGGGATTGAACTCGGGAATAACCTGTGTCGCCATCATGATCTTGTCACCGAAATCAACACTCTGGTATTGAAAACAACCCAGCTCCATGGAGTCCACATAGAAGTTCCTTCCTCCCTTTTTCATGATCAGAACTCATGGTCCCTTCCTGTTCTCCCCTCTCTTTTGTGACTCCACCAGGATGGCCCTTCATCCTGCTTGACTTGGGAAAGAATGGTGGGGGGTGAGGAAGAAACATTGGTCTGGAACCACCTACTGCAACCCCACGCTTGCACCTGGCCCCAGATTGCGTGTGCACGTTCATTGGCCAGCTGCCTCCCCACCTTTCTTGCTCACGTACCCCAGTGTGGGCCAGGAGGACAGGGTCAATTTTGGTACCTGTGTGGTGGTCAAGCCTTCAGTCTCCTTGTGGCGAGCTGTAGTGGTGCCTGTGAGGAGGGCAGGTGCTTCAGTTACGCAGGGAAGGTTTGCAGAAACCAGCTGTTACTTCGTAATTGAACATGTTTTACTCATTTTAGGTGTAATGAAAGAATCTGGTGCAAAACACAAGGGATTGATTGAAATACCCAACCTTTCTGAAGAAAATGAAGTAGATGACACTGAGGTGAGGTATCTGATGTGTCTTTCCCCCCCTTTTTATATCAAGTTTCTGCTGCAGATGTGGAGGATTCGAAAAACTTTCATCAGACTGTGATTCCTGCAGCTGGGTCAGTCGGAGAGGGCTCGCTGCTGAGGACTGCTCACTGTGGGCGCAGCGGGAGCGTAGCGCAGAGAGGTGTGGGGCCTGCGCAGGCGGCTGCGCCATCGTGGCCTCGTGTGTGCAGGGGGTGAATTCATCCTTCAGGGGTGTTAGCAGACCAGTGTGACTGTATGTCCTGTGAAGTGCTCAGGCTCATGCACAGTCTGGCCGGTGGGATCTTTGCTATTTCCCTTTAACGGTGACAGTGCTCAGCTTTTAGCTGTGATCTCCCTTGGTTACGTGTTTTTTGTAAACCAGTTAGTATTGCTTTTGACTGGCTCCTAGTTCTCTTGGGAGATAGAGCCTGTGTAACTCCTCACCCTGGTTTCCAGTTACTGCCTGCTGCAAGTTGTAAGCTTGGTTCTGGGGAGAGACCATTTGTACAACAGCTGTATTTTCCAAACCAAATAGTTTGACAGAAGGTCGTTTTTGACTTGTGAAATTATTCAATGTGAAGGCTCTCAAAGATATAAAAATGAAATCATACTGAGCAACACATCCGTGACGTGCCTTTATTAAAGTTTATAAAATGCCAGATAAGTGGGGCTGTCTCAGACATACCTGCAGACATGGGGTTGCTATCCTCAGATCCATCAGCTGAGAAGTTTTTCATCAGCCCATTAAACCGGCCTTTTAGATTTAACCCTTGATAGCACTATAGACAAACTCTTTAGATGGGACCTGGGACAGGCCCAGCTCAACTCAGTCACAGGGACACTAAGTGATTTCTAACCAGCACCTCTCTTCATACCACAGAGGTACCCAGAGCAGCATTTTGATTTCTCTCTCCGTCTCCCCGCTTCTCCCTCTGCCTCCCTCCCTCCCCTCCCCAGTTCCTCCCTTGACGTCCCTCCCTTCCTTCTCCCTTTCCCAACTCTCCTCCCTGCCAAAACTATGTAGCTCAAGCCCATGTTATGTGGGAACTTGTTTTTCCTAATTGCACTGGCTTTGGGGTTATAGATCGGCGCTGTTCAATAGGAATACAATGCAAGCCACATACGGAATTGAAGATTTTTTACTAGCCATCTTTTAAAAAGTTAAAAGAAACAGGTGAAGTTAATTTTAATGTTTTTATTTAGCCCGATATATAAAAAACACCATTTAAACATGTAACTGATATCAAAATTATTTTACATTTCCTTTTTTTCGTACTAAGTCTTCCAGGTCTGGTACGTATTACTTTACACTTACAGCACATCTCACATCACACCAGCGCCCTTCCGTGCTCCACAGCACATGTGGCACGTGCCTGCCATGCTGGACGGCACCTTTCTAGACCCTGGTAAAAGCCATGGACTCTGTCATCAATATAGTACATATACATATGGAATTTTGTGTGCAAATTAAGGGGCTCATATTCTAAGAAGTCCATTCAAGATTTGGCCAATCCAGGCAATGGAGCCTTGATTAAAAAACCTGTACATCTTCTCAAACATACAGGAAGAATCCTGTCACCTCTCTCAACAGCTGCTCCCTCCCCTTCCCTCATAGTCACAGTTCTTCTCTCATCCACATGTCCCAATGTTGTAAGAATACATCAAACCAGATTTTTCTTAGGTTTGTATTTTTTTTCTGATTTGTAGGTGAACGTGAGTAAAAAGAAAGGAGATGGGGATATACTGAAGGATCTTATGAAAACTGCGGGCACTGCCAAGGTCAGGGAAGCCCTTGGAGACTACCTGAAGGCACTTAAAACGGGTAAAGGAGGCATCCCTCGTGAACCCGGGGGTCCCTTTTCTATTTACCCAAGTTATACTCTGCACTGTGGTCTGGATTCGCAGGGTAGGCTGATACAGGCTTCAGAAACAACTCTTCATGCTGCAGGATACATTGTAGTCTGGATGTTGAGAGCTAGTCATGAGTAAGACCATAATTAGTGATTATCACAGTATTATACACAGTGTGAACCATTTTGCTTACAGAATTGTTAATAGTTTTCTGGAATAATAATTATTTAATCAGTCATTTGTATAATTTGTTTAATGTCTGTCTTCCCTGCTAGACCATAAGCTCCATGAGGGCATAGAAGGTGTCTGTCTTGTTCACTGCTGTATCTCCAGCATCTAGCACAATGCCTGTCGCATAGTAGGTGCTTAATAAATCTTTGTTGAATGAATGAATGAATGAATGAAAGTGACTGTAGGTAGTACAGGTGTAGTTGAGATTTACCTAGATAACCCTGCTTTGTGGAAATGAGGTTATTTATTGTTTCCCTCCCTGAATTAGTGAAGCTACTTGCCAGGCAAAGTGGCCAAAGGGCGTGTCCGTCTGCACATCATCCTTGGATTCTGCTGTGTCTAGGTGTTGGCATAGATGGGTTTGAGGTTGCTACTTTTCCCGTGAGACCGTACATGTGGCTGGCAACGAGAAAGTGTCTGGTTTTGACAGTAGAGGAAGGCCATGATGCTATTAGTAGTTAGTTGTATAAAACTGAACTTTTTGGAAAAGAACATTTGAAATTTTTTGCTGTTTTATCAAGAACTAGATAAAAGTGAGGTATTTGAAAAATAAAAGAATAAAATGCATTTGTTGCTATGTAATGTGTTAGTTTTATATATAAAAACGTGGAATAGTCTTGAAATTCTCAAAATGATCTAGGATTTTTTATAAATGTTTTCATATGTTGTTTTGGGTTTTCTTCCTATTTGTGCTGAAAAGGAAAAAGTTCTTTGCTGAGACTGACAAACCTCAGAGAAGGAGGGCTGGGGGGATGGATGAGATAAACCAAAGAACTTATATGCAAGTATGTGTAACCAATGGACAGAGACAACAATGTTGGGGTGGTGGTGGGTGGAATCAGGAGGAGGGTGTCTGGGGGGGAAAGGAGAAATATCTGTAACAAAAATAAATAAAAATGGCAACAACAAAAAAAAGTTCCGTATTAAAACCATTTCCACGTTTCTTTGTAGAATTTACAATAGGAATGATTCTGCCAACGAAAGCTACAGCAGCCCAGGAATTGACTATTAAAAGGAAGCTGAGTGAGAATACCTTGCAGGTATGATCTCTAGCGGCCAATATGTAGGGGAAGGGAAAGGAAGTGCCTAGAATTCATCCAGGCTCTCAACAACCTTTCCATGAGGAACTGGAAAGCACAGTGAGGGCCAGTTCATCCACTCTTGCATCCTTGCCATTTTTGAGGGGAAAATGATGAAATCATCTTTGATGGAAGGTAATGTATAAACACCTTTATGTGGGGTAAATACTGAATTTCGTTCAAGACTGTTGTAAAAGCCCTGTTCTTTGGTAGAGAACAGATTACAAAACCAGGTGACTCTGAGGTTCACATACCACAGTGGACCAAACTTCTCTCCAGACTTCTGGATTGGGAAGTTTTAGATCCTGTTCTTGGAATCTAGTGGTGTAAATTGATACTTTGTCCTTACTTGCAGCTGCCCCTCTTATCTGCATATCTTCATGCCCTTTGGGCCCTCTTTACATGTTCAAGTTAAGATTTGGGGTGTTAAGCCATAGCTTGGAAGTAGAACAGAGCTAAAGAGCTCATAGGAATAATGAGCTGTTTCCAAAGTAGAGGCCAGGACTCGTGCTGAAAAGCCTTTTCATGCTATTTCCATGTTTCTGGAATGAGTGGTGTGGAATTTGGGATATTTTGGTGTTTTAAGATGGGAAGACGGAATTTTTAAGTCTAAGCAGCCTTTTCCTTTGGCATGCCAATTATCCTTTGAATCCTCTTCTTGAGATCCAGGCACCACTGGGTGTAAGGATTCCCACCGTGGCGCTGCACATGACAGAGCTGTTCGACACAGCGGCAGAGCGGCTGTACAGTATCTTCACTGTGAAAGAAGTAAGTAACTTTCCAAGGTAGGATCTTAAATGTCAACCCTGGGAGAAAATGTACCATTAAGAACTGGAGCTGGGCCCTGGCCGATTTGGCTCAGCGGTTGGAGAGCTGGCCTGCAGACCAGAGAGTCCCGGGTTCGATTCCCGCTAGGGGCACTTACAAAAAAAAAAGAGAGAGAACTGGAGCTGGTTTTTGGTGTCCCTTATGTTCATGTTTTTCTGATCGAAGGGATCTAGAATTGTGAGGGCATAAGTCTTTAGGGTAGCTTCTGAAATATTTGAGGGGAGAAAAGATGGCATTTTGGGGGGAATATATCAGCAATTAGGGGATACACTAATTTATTTATAGCTTTCTCTCCCTGCAGAGGGAGAAAACTAAGTTCTTACAAGCTACATATTCAGAACTTTGGGGGGAAAAAAAACCTCAAACCATAGTAATTATTACATGCTGATAACATCTTATGTTTTTCTTGGTTAGTTGGTGCAAAAATTTTCTAAATCCCCTGCCACATTAGAAGCTGAAAAGGGAGGAAAATTCCAAATGTTTGATGGGAATGTCACCGGTGAATATATAGAACTGGTAAGAAATCTTACGGTTAAAGGAAAGGAAGCTGGGAACTACTCTTACTTCCGTTTACATTGCTTTATTAATTAGTGCTTTTTAACTTGCTTTGTGTTTTTATCTGAGCTCACAGAAACATGAGAACTTTATTATAGTTGGTTGTAAAGCAAATAAAAAATGTTATATACAATGAGAAAGTTGAAGCCTTAGTTTCACAGTATTTGTGCAAATGCTTATGATTTTAGAAGGAAAAAATATTAATTCTCCCAGCTCTTAGTGTAGAATGTTCAGCTTTCTGCCATCCAAACCACTGGGGTCTGCATTGCCAAATGTCAGTTGCCTCACCCTTGACAGCTCTGTTCTGGTGACCCACGTCTCCACACTTGTCCTTGACGTTAACTGCTGTTACGGGCATTTTGGCACTACGGACAATAAATTCTCAATGGTGCTGGCATATAAACTGGAAAATGGGGACTGTATGTTGTTCACTGATTACTTTTAGTCACAGGGCTTTTTAATGAAAGGCTTGGCTGTTTTTCTGTATAGTATTGTAGGAAATTTAAAAAGATGTTTTCAATAGAATTTCCTCTTTGTTTTCAGATAACAAATGAAAAGATCGTCATGAAATGGAGATGTAGGAACTGGCCAGAAGGTATGTTATTAGTACCATTTGTTTGTTCTAAGAGTCCAAAAACACTCAAGCTGTTTTTCCCCCAGGAAAAGCAGGTAGTAGTGCTTATACATTTTCCTCTTTATAATGGTTCCTTATTTTCTTCCAGAACACTATGCAACAGTTGTACTGAATTTTGTGCCCACTCCAGGGCAAACGGAATTACAGCTGGACTGTAAAGGAGTTCCTGTCTGTAAAGAAGAGAACATGAAATTCTGTTGGCAGAAGCAGCATTTTGAAGAAATTAAAGGTTTACTGCAGCTGACCACCCTAAATGGTTGAATTAGAAGATTTTAAGGGCATTACATTTTGTAAGCAGTAAAAGTGTCATTACATCTTCCCTATAATTTCTTTTAAAAAAGAAAACTCTTAATTTATATTGGATGAAATCCAAGAACTTTTACATAATTTAAAGCATTGTTTGCATCCTAACCACAATTTAGAAGCAGCAAGCAACCTGACATTAAGTATTGAACCTTACCTCATAGATGCTCCTCTGGGAATAGATTGAAGCCCTGATCCGAGTACAGATAATTGCAAGTTTCCCAACCTAAAGCTTGTCCTTATAGCAGGCTTATTTCAGCTGTAGTTTTAGTTCAGGAAGACAAGAGTAAGTGGCATGTTGATAGCATTCCTTTATTTACTTCAGGGTTTTTAAGGAGGGTAGCTCTTAGATTAGTGAAACAGTGACATGTTGCACTCAGAAGCATGTTGAGTTGTGTTGTTCCACTTCTCCCTGCAGCAGTTAAGCATTTCAGGGTGGAGAGGATTGAACAGTCATGAGAATAAGTTACTTTTTGGACTGCCACTAACACCTCTAATGAAATAGAATATAATTGGGTAAGTGCTTCCCCCATTCACAGTTTTCTCATTACTTTCATCTGAGAAGACTGAAGCAACGTATGTAAACAAATAAAAAGTAATCACAATCAGTTTAATTAAGTGCACAGAATAGCAATCAGTCATGTCAATAAAAATAAAACAATTATTTTTACATCAAGTGTGCTTTATTTCCTCCACAGGTATTCTGTTAAATAAAGCACCATTTATATACTGCCAGGCCACAGCTAAAGAGGATTCTTTACAGAATCAAATTTCTTGTGGTTGTTCCGTATACAAGTAAACTTAATTTTGATAATAAGAACCACAGCGATCGGAGGCAATCTGCCTCTATTATAAGGTACAAAACTGGCACAGAAGACACCATATTATACACAGTAAAAATGCTGTACGTTTAAATTACATTGTACAGGGCCAGGGAACCCTGTTCCTCCCAGACAGCCATATTAAATGAAAGCCACTACAGTGAACTCTTAATTACATAAAACATATCCATTATCTGATTGCCCTTTAGAAAGTATACTGAAGATGCAAATTTTTTTCATCTGGAGTTCTGCCTGACCAAGAATTAAGCCTATACATCTATCTTGCCATTCAAGCAGAGAGCACTGGACAAACTGAAGCACAAAAACAGAAATAAGCAAAACTTATACAAACAGCATTGGGGGTAGGGGGACCTTAAAAGTAGACATGCTATATCTAATGTCAAGAAGCAGCTTGGTTTCCTTTGCCAGATATCCTTGTGACCATATGGATCGTGGATTCAATGGTTCTGCACAGGGTATCTAAAATGTCGTGTTGCTGCATGTGACTAAAGAGTCCTCTGGAATGGCCACAACTGAGTGATAAAGCAGCCTCAGGGTCCTGGGAGGGCAAAGCTTGACCATCACAGCTTCTCAAGTCAGCTAAGTCAGACAGAACTGCAGAGATAGAAGTAGAAGGGAACTCTGATTCTTCCTCTGCTAAGTTAGAATCCTTGGAACAGTGGAGGTCTTTAAATTCTTTACAGTCTTCAAATCTACCACTGTTGGACTGTTCTTCTGCATGCTGTGACCTGGTATTTGACATGTCTTCTGAAAACGAAGATGGAACTTCCATTCGGTATTCTTTAACAGAACTATTTTCAGGGGAAGGAAGATCTTGTTCAGTTCCTGGATCAATAATTGAGGAGTCTCTTGTCTCATTGTCTGAAGTGCTAGTTGGGGTCAGGACCTCCCTGGTTTCCGTTTTCATGTCGCTGATGCAGCTGTCCACAGTGTGTTCCTCATCACTGCTAACGCGCCTTCTTTTAACAGGAGTTGCCCCTTCATCATCTGTGAAGACAGCAAAACAAACTTCTGTGAAAGGGATCACTAAGATCAACACGAAGAAGGGGAGGGGGGTGTTTGTGGAATATTTCCTTTATAGCATTTATATTTAGGAGGCCCAAGAGAACACAGAGCTATTGTATAGGTACACCGAGTATATTCCCTTCTCCCACCCTAAAGGTAATAATGGTCCATAAAGCTAACCTTTAGTTTTTCTTTCTTTGGCTTCTTGCTCTTGGAGTGAGTTTCTCTGCTGCAGACAAGTCCTACATTTGTTTAAAAGCTCTTGCAGAGTTGGAATTAGAGCTGGGTTTAATTGTTTGGGAGTGTGTACCGACAGGAGCAAAGCAAGTGCCCGTAGGTCCTACAAAAACCCAGACATGAACATTTCAAATTCTAAAGCCAATATTGGACACACTTTGTTTATAGTTCAATGCACATATTTACTTTCCCAGGAATCTACCCTGGCTTCTATGGCATTTTTAGAGAATGCTGAAACTATAAAGCCAATGTTATGATACTATATCTCATTGGTTTTAAGTCACTAATACCATTATTTTATGCACCACACCATTAAAAAAGTCAGACTGGAGACTCAACTAGTGTTTTCTGAAAATGGAAAAAGACAATCAATAATAGAAATTATATAGGAATTTTAAAAATAAACCCTGAATGATCTGTGAGAAATTTAGGTCTTATTAATCTAGAAATCAGTTTCTCAAATATGCTAATTTTGGGTGGACATGGAAAAGAGTAAGGTCTTCCTCACTTATCTCTGTAATCCGTTCTGGCATCTAAGCATTTTGTTCCATGGGAGGCTACTGCTAGACATGTGCTAGCACACGTTTCCAGCTGTTCCATTATTCTATGACATGGCTATCGTGGGAGTCTATACAAGGCAACTTACAAATTCCCTAGGTTTAACTGGCTTTATGATAGGCAGGTCATTAATCGAATTGTTTAGTTACCTATGAGCCATAGGCAATAATAGAAACATCACAAATAATTGTTTCAAAAAAAGGAAACAAGTAGAGATAAAGGGAATGCCTTTTAGTGGTCATACTGCCATTAGTATTTAATGACTTTAGCTCATGACTTCTAAGGTAACAGAAAGTGTGTGTGCCCTGGCCGGTGTGGCCCAGTTGGTTGAGCCTGGTCCCATGCACCAAAAGGTTGCCAGTTCAGTTCCTGGTCAGGGCACATGCCTGGGCTGTAGGCTTGATCCCCAGGAGGATGAGTGCAGGAGGCAGCCAATCGATGTTTCTCCCTTTCCTGTCCTAAGAATCAGTTTCTCAAAAATCTTCAAAAGAAAGTGTGCACTATATACATAAAAGGCATTGTGAACAATATTTTAAAATTGGATTAGCTTTTCATATTTGACTTCTAGAGTTTGAACACTAAATGTATAATAAAATCATACTAAGGCCAATTTTAGAGTTGATTTAAGGAAGTTCTGAAGTAAATGACTATTATTCCCTTCCATAGTTCTTACCCCATTTAATGAAGCACTTGCTTTGGACATTTCAATTCGGTTGGTGAAATCAGACTGCAGGTTCTGATACTGATTTATCAAGTTTGTAATAAGGGTGCTGATCAAATTGGCACAGTTTGCTTCAGAAAACACTTGACCTTGAACCTGAAAAAAAGGGATTAAAAAAAATCTCCAAAAGACCAACATAACAAAAACACAACCATTAACTAACTGGAAGTAATACATTTGAGTTTTCAAAGTACAACATACCTTTAGAAGAAAATGAGTCATGAATGTGTAGACAATGTTGTTGTTTAGGAAAGTTCTTTCATCCATTAGGATACATTTTATATATTCTGCAAAAACAGGATCTTCACATAAAAGCTTGATGCAATTTTTTGACAGAGCAGACTAAAGTGGGGAGAAGAAGTACTGACGGATGAGCACTGAAATCATTGCATATTTTAAACATACTGCTTACGATGTACATTGTGGAGTCTGTATATCTGACTGGAAAAGCCACTCGTAACTTAGTCTACTAAGCTTTCAATTACAGCAACTGTCCTCCCAATCAATTAAAACATTACTAACTTGGACTACATGGGTGAGTGCTAATGGAAGAGACTTGTAAAAAGTCTGAATGGCAAAGCTGACAAATATTTTTAAAAATGCAGCTTTATTATCTAGCATTAAGAGAATTAAGGGATTGAACAAACAATGTTCTTAGGAGTCTAATGAATGGATAGTTAATAAGTAACCAAAGCACAGGTAGAGAAAATTTTAAGAATTAAATTTATTCTCTAAAACGAGTTAAAAATTTTACTGTTATTAGCAGTACTAACTTGTTAAAACCCTTTCCCCTCATAAATATTGCAAAAGTAAACAGCAAACCTCTTTTCCTAATTACCTCACACAGAAAATTAGTGGGTCCCAATATTTACTAAAATTTAGGGAAATTTTACTAAAATTTGGTTTTCCTGTTTTCAAATGGTCATGGCTCTTAAACACAAGTAGTATGTCTTTAAGTAGATATATTCCCTAGATTACTTATATGTGTTTTAATAATAGATCATTTACATGGAAGAAAAAACAGACTTAAAAAATAGGACAAAAATTTAGATAATATATACATTATATACTTATTTATGTTTTATTACAGTAAGCAACTGTAGTAAGTAAAATGCTCAAGGTCACCCAAAAAATTAGAGGACTTGAATAAGACCAGGACCCAGGTGTTCAGATTTTTGGTGCCATGAAAATCTGCCTTATTTTACCAGTTATAGCCTCTGCCTACTGCCTATGTTTCTTGCACAGAATTGGTGGGAGGGGCTTTGGAAGCCTTATTTGGGTTGATTTGGCTTTGTTTTAAGGTTTTTGGGGATGGTGAATTCTGTGGGAAAAAAGCCAAAGAAAGGGAGTAGTAGAGTGCAGAGCAATAGGGAAGCAGTAGGTGGTAGGAGAGTATAGAACCCCGCCCACCCTCCCCAAATAAAGCAAATCAAGAAAAAGAAAAGATCAGCAATAGAGAGGGAAAAAGCAGAGATCTGATCTGCTTTACTGAATAGACCACTCAGCTAAAAAAATCAACCAGCAAAGCATTTTCTAATGTTTACTAAGTACTAAACCATGTGATCAATGTATCTAGCCTTTCAAAGATTCCTACTATAGAAAACAAAATGACATTTCTCCAGGGAACAGAGATGACTCACAGTCTCTACACTTCAGGAGCTCACAGTTTGGGACAAGGAGATAAACAACTATTACAGTACCAAGTTACACACAACCATTAGGAGAATATACAGAACACTACTGCCTGCACAGGAGGCTGGACCAAACTCAAAAGTAATTCAGATACTATAATGTGGGTAAAGGTTTATGCCAAAGGAAGGTTAACAAACTCATCTCTTTCGCTGGAAATGAGCAGATGCAATCAGGCAGGAAAACAATAGTTTTTTCAGGGTCTAAAAGAGGGAGGGTCCTTTATGCCTGACCTAAGGAATGGAGCCTTAGAATCAATCTGGTTTCTCCCTCCCTCTCTGA